ACTAACCACTGAGCCATTGTGTCACCATTATTATGCTGAAATTATGAATAACAATGTAATTGTAATGAACCCAGACAATATGCAAGCACTGTATGGAAAGGGTTATTTTAGAAAAGGGGTGTTGTCGAGAAGCCGACCAGATTACAATATTTCAGACCCCGCTTTAGCTGCCGAATGGAAAGGTCCCAAACCTCTGTACATGCCCATAATTTCATCAGTAAAGTTTCAGCACCATGCAGAATGGGTGAAAAGTCTCCTGCAAGAACAAGGCCTAGAAGATGCTTCCATTGAGAAAATTTTGGAAGATTATACAAAGTCAATAGAATTATCATGTGATAGAAGAAGCAATGAATTTGGTGATCATTCACAAGAAATAAATATCAACTCCCAAGTCTGCACAGCTAAAGAAGAATCTGGTGAAAGAGCTGAAAATATGCATAATGGAGAAAATCATCCTGTCAAAAGCACTCAAAATACGGCACATTGTTTGGAAGATGATGCACTTTACGATCCTTTAGCAAGACCTGCAGACTGTGAAACAACTGGGAGGGAAGCTGTAACAGAAGTGCACTGTCCCAGACATAATGATCTCGTTATTCACTGTGGCTGCCAGTATCCAGATGATATGAATGAAGTTCTGCAAAACATATCTCCCCCTTTGAAGTCCTTCTATTTGAAGCCTCCTGGACACCCATCCAGGTCTCCCTCAAGGTGGAGGATAATCATCCCAGGTGTTCCAGATAGCCAACAAATTGCATTGCTCGCAAATGGACATTCTCAGGCACATTTCAACTTTATATCCTCTTCTGTAATTAAAAGTTTACTATGTTGGTATGTAATCCAGGGTCCAGTGTTGTAATGACAATGTCAATGGCTTGTAAAATGTTGCTTTTGAATATAAAATATAAAATATAAAATAAAATAAAATGATAACAAGTGCAGACATAAATATAAAGTGGACACAGTACAGATACAGATGTATCAAATTGGTGGAGGCAAAGTCTGTAAAAATTTAGATCAGGTTCCAGTTGGGTTATACAGATATTACCTCATTACAGATGCTTTATTTCTATTCACAGTGTTCACTGTCAGAATGCCTCCATTTAACAGCAACTCCATTGACTCCGATGAGGTCAGCTCTGTTGATTCAGCGAAAATTGATCCAACTCCAGCAACGTTCACAGGTATGTAGTAATCCTAACTTGTATCAAATAGCCTTCAGATCCAGCAGAATTGTTATTTACTGTGCCACAAAAAGGACTCAGTTAAGCCTCAAACTGGGTAGGGATTGATCACTACATCTGCCACCTCCTCCTGTCTTCTCCTGGACTATAGTCCCACCACCAAACACAGTGTCATTGCCTTCAGATCTGTCACTCACTTCACCTTAACTCCTCTGGGAATGTTCATGCCTCAGCCTCGAACCTCAAAGCAGCCTCCCTTGAGTATTGCAAATGTCATTCCTTGTTCAAGAAAGGGAATAGGGATAATTCTGGAAATTACAGACCAGTCAGTCTTACTTCTGTGGTGGACAAATTATTGGAGAGGATTCTGAGAGATACTATTGATGATTATTTGGAAAAGCACAGCTTGATTAGAAATAGTCAGCATGGCTTTGTGAGGGGCAGGTCATGTCTCACAAACCTTATTGAATTCTTTGAGGATGTGACAAAACATGTTGATGAAGGTAGAGCAGTGGATGTGGTGTATATGGATTTTAGCAAGGCATTTGATAAGGTTCCACTTGGTAGACTCATTCAGAAAGTAAGGAGGCATGGGATTCAGGGAAATTTGGCTGTCTGGATACAAAACTTTCTGTCCAATAGAAGGCAGACGGTGGTAGTAGATGGAAAGTATTCAGCCTGGAGCTCAGTGATGAGTGGTGTGCCGCAGAGATCTGTTCTGGGACCTCTGCTCTTTGTGATCTTTATAAATGACTTGGATGAGTAAGTGGAAGGGTGGGTTAGTAAGTTTGCCGATGACACGAAGGTTGGTGGAGTTGTGGACAGTTTGGAGGGCTGTTGTAGGTTGCAACAGGACATTGATAGGATGCAGAGCTGGGCAAAGAACTGGCAGATGGAATTCAACACAGAAAAGTGTGAAGTGATTCATTTTGGAAGGTCGAATTTGAATGCAGAATACGGGGTTAATGGCAGGATCCTCAGCAGTGTGGAGGAACAGCGGGATCTTGGGGTCCATGTCCATAGATCCCTCAAAGTTGCTACCCAAGTTGATAGGGTTGTAAAGAAGGTATATGGTATGTTGGCTTTCTTTGGCAGGGGACTTGAGTTTAAGAGCCGTAAGGTTATGCTGCAGCTCTATAAAACTCTGGTTAGACCACACTTGGAATATTGTGTTCAGTTCTGGTCACCTCATTATAGGAAAGATGTGGAAGCTTTAGAGAGAGTGCAGAGGAGATTTACCAGGATGCTGCCTGGACTGAAGGGCAGGTCTTATGAGGAAAGGTTGAGGGAGCCAGAGCTTTTTTCATTGGAGCGAAGAAGGATGAGAGGTGACTTGATAGAAGTGTACAAGATGATAAGAGACATAGATAGAGTGGATAGCCAGAGACTTTTTCCCAGGGCAGAAATGACTATTACAAGGCGGCATAATTTTAAGGCGATTGGAGGAAGGTATAGGAGAGATGTCAGAGGTAGGTTCTTTACACAAAGAGTGGTGGGCGTGTGGAATGCGCTGCTGGCATTGGTAATGGAGTCAGATACTTTAGAGACTTTTAAGCGATTCTTGGATAGGCACATGGAGGATAGTAAAATGCAGGGTATGCAGGGTAGATTGATCTTAGCAGGATAATAGGTCAGCACAACATCGTGGGCCAAAGGGCCTGTACTGTGCTGTACTGTTCTATGTTCTATGTTCTATGTTCTATCCCCTTTCTATGCCTTTCCTAAAATCCACAAACTGGGATGAGCAGGGAGAGCCAGCTGGGAGACCCATCACATCAGGCTCTCCCTCTTCTACAGAGCTGCCTTCTTCCTTTCCCAACTCACTGTTGCTTTCTTCAGTGAGTCCCTCCCTGGGTGGTTTGTGAGGTTTGTCGTGCAGGGCTTCATTCTGCCCATCAGAAGATGTCTCTCCAGTTCTCTCTGGTAAGTGTGGATTACCCTTGCTGAGGTCTGACTGCTGCCTGACTCCAGATACTTTTTTTCCCACAACAGGGCAATAACAGGGAAAGAAGACTAAGAGCCAGTAAAGGCAGAATGGGTTGAATGGCTTCCTGAATGTTGGTACTATGAAGTCAAATGAACTACTGTATCAAACCTGACCTTTTCTATCATTCTGACCTTCATATTTTCTTTATTAATTCCTTACTGCCCTCTAAGTAACTTGTTTATGTTGCAAAGACCATATCATCCTATTTTTCTGCATTTTTGATCGTGGACTGAAATGAAAAAGAAAAGGACTATTTAAAAACCCAAGGTTATGGAAGGAATTGATAAGAGGTTTAAACATAAGTCACTGAAACTCATTGCATGTGGTGTTTACACTACTGCTTTATTCAAGCAGTAGGGGGAGCTGTTTGTACACAACATGGCACTGTCTGGTACAGAGTGAGATTTGGCCAGCAACATGTAGCTGATTGGGTTGTGCAATTGTGACCAGTCATGAATGCCAAAGAGCATCAGCCTGACAACAACACGCTGATTGGTTCCTGGGCGGCTGAACTGTTTATGGATGGGAACAATATAGTGAGAAGCCTTTGGATTGTTGGAAGGACAGGTTGTGTGTGTCTCTCTCTATCATAAAAATACATGAAGCCTGAAGAAAGGCCAGTTATCTCCCTCCTGTTGTTGTAAATTGTTGTGTTTAATCAGAACCAAAGAGATTTTGTGGATAGTATATCTATCACCTTGTCCCTCCTTCCTTTTTTCTTCACTCACGGGATGTGGGTGTCGCTAGCTAGGCCAGCATTTTTCGCCCATCTCTAGTTGCCCAGAGGGCAGTTAAGAGTCACACTGCTGTGGGCCTGAAGTCACTTGTAGGTCAGACCACGTAAGGACAGCAGATTTCCTTCCCTAAAGGACATTAGTTAGTGAACCTGGTGAGTTTTTTGTGACAATTAGCAACGGTTTCATCTTCATCATCATTATTAGATGTTATTTCCAGATTTTTACTGAATTCAAGTTCCACCATCTGCCACAGCGGGATTTGAGCCCAGATCCCGAGATCATTACCTGTGTCTCTGAATTAATAATCTAAAGATATTAACACTAGGCCATTGCCTACCATATCCCTGTGAAGAAGTTAAAAATACCTCGAGAAAAGAGATTGCAGAACGGAAAGTCCTGGTACACGGAAAGAAACTCTCAATGAACCCTGTGGACTAGTACTACTGACCTGTGTCTTTCAGCTATTTTAACTTCCATCCATAAGACCAATGTATTTCTTTAGCTTGTCTCTGTCTGTTTGTGTGTGTATGTCTATGTGTGTCTGTGTGTTTGTGTGTGTCTATGTGTGTCTATGTGTGCCTGAGTGTGTGTGCCTGAGTGTGTGTGTCTGTGTGAGAGTGTGTGAGTGCATGTGTCTGTGAGAGTGTATATGGTCTGAGTGTGTGTGTCTGTGTCCGTGTCTGTGTGTGTGTAGAGGTTTTAAAAGTGGGTTAGAGTTTTAATTAGTAGAACCATGTGTTGATAGTTCATAGCTGTTTACAATGATTAGAATTTACTAATTTGTATTAAACAGTAGTCATTGTTAAATGCAGGAAGCTAGTCAATGTGTTCTGTTAATGTAGTTCCAACAAACACAGGCCAATTGGGACTTTGCTGACGTTGATTAAATCATTAATTTTTGTGGCGACCAGAGAATTGGTGGGACTTGGGAATCAATGCCCTTTCCCAAGTGGGTTGTAATCGTGTCAAACTGTATCATTAGTCTGGAATAAAAAGCACTCCTCTCCCTGTTTTGTGACAGAGAATGTGATAACAGTAGCTGATCCTGTCCAACTGGAGGATGATGGTGTGAAGGAGGAGGTAGCGGAGATAGAGGAGGATGATCCATGGACACTCCCTCAGCTCCAGAACCAGGGGCCCCGATGGAGCGGTAAGCAAACTCTCTGTCCTCACTGTTTACCAAACAGCTCTTAGTCTCTGGCTCTCTCCTTCATGTTGGTTTTGTCCTTTTACAGAATTGGATCGGGTTGGGAAGATGAAGCATGTCATCAAAAGGATCATCATGACTGTTCTGCTCATTGCTTTTCTTTATGTCTTTGTTTGTTCTCTTGATGTCCTCAGTTCAGCATTTCAACTCGTTGGAGGTAATTGGATTTGAGCATTTTGTGGAGACTGCTCCCATCCCCAGGAATATTGGGGGTGGGGGGGGTGCTCATCAGAGTCCAAAATCCAGAGCCTGGTCTGGAACTTGGGGCCTGGGGTCTGGATAGGGGGAGCATAGACAGCAGGATTGCCCTGCACAGGTTGAGGAGGGATTGGGGTCCAAGTTAAGAGGAGTACTGGAGGCTGGTGATTTCAGTCCCTGTTCCCAGCCCAAAGGAATCTTGAATGAGTGATTAGAGACCCAGAAAATCGGAGCAGGAGTAGGCCATTTGGCCCTTTCAGCCTCTGCTATTCACCTATGATCGTGGCTGATCATCCAGTTCAGACCTTTGTTCCCGTGTTATCCCCATGCCCTTTGTACCCTTTAGCCCTATGAACTATACCTAACTCCTTCTTGTAAACATTCAATGATTTGGCCTCAATTGTTTTCTGTGGTACAGAATTCCACAGGATCACCATTCTCTGAGTGAAGACATCTCTTTCATCTCAGTCCTAAATGGCCTAACCCGTATTGTTGGACTGTGACCCCTGGTTCTGGACTCCCCCAGTCACCAGGAACATCCCTCCTGCGTCTAATCTAGTTTGAAATTTTATAGAATTTTTTATAGAATCCCTACAATGTGAAAACAGGCCCTTTGGCCCAACAAGTTCACACCGACCCACCCCCACTATGTTCCATCTAATCTCCACATCCCTGAACACTACGGGCAATTTAGCATGGCTAAATTATGTAGGTTTCTATTATATCACCCTCATGTTTCTGAACTTCAATGAATATCATCCTAACTGATTCAAATCTCTTCCTAAATCAGTCCCGCTGTCCCAGGAATCAATCTGGGAAATCTTTGTTGCACTCCCTCTTTAGCCAGAACATCCTTCCTCAGACAAGGAGACCAGTGTCCACACACTAATTCAGGTGTGGTCTTGGCAAAGCCCTGTACAACTGCAGCAAGACATCCCCGCACCTGTACTCAAATCTGCACTAACATTAACAATGCAGATCATTGCTGAGGTGAAGTAGTTTCAACTTTTGAATGATGGGCTGTGGGAAAGTAAACGGTCTGCACCCCCAATCTCATCTGTATAGGAACGTCTGCCTTGTGTGCACATGGCACACGGCATTTGTACACCTGGGGTGGAACTCCCCCACTGAGAAGGGGTGGCAAGGGCAAATAATCAGGCAGGGGAGATGCTGACTACTTCCGAACACATCTGAAATTAAGGTGGATGACGTTCCCACCTCACCGCTAATTAAAGCGTCAATTAACAACGATGTAAGGGCTTCATTGTGCCTGGGTTCCAGCTCCAGGCCTAAGAGGAAGCAGCTGGCCTGCTCCACTGTGGGTTGGCAGCGGGAGTGAGATCCATGGACCTGCCCGATTTTTTGCAGGGTTGGGGACTGGACCTAAGGCAGGTGGGTGGGCTAACAGCTGAGAGTCAGCTCCCTGCCCTGATCCTCTGGCTCCTCTCCAGCCCCTCTGTGACTCTTAACTCCATTCCACCCCCCCATCCCACTAAAGCATTGACACAAAGATGAGTGGGAATGGATGTTGTGACTTCAGGAGGTTGGTAGGTTGAGTGAATGGGCAAAAATCCAGCAGCAAATGCGAAGTCTGACAGGAAGAATGAGAGAGCAGTGTATTATGGAATCAGAGAACGATTGCAGCATTCCAATGTATGGGTGCTATTCTAGTTTTCTGTTCTAGTGCATAGAAACCTAGAAACCAGGGCCATTCAGCCCTTTGAGCCTGTTCTGTCATTCAGTATGATCATGGCTGATCATCCAATTCAGTCCCCTGATCCCACTTTCTCCCCATACCCTAGAAGGTAGAGGTACAGCTCAGAATCCAGAAGGCTAAAGGGATACTTTCCTTTGTTATGAGAGGAATTAAACATAACTCCAATAATTTTATGCTTCAGTTAAACAGGGCATTGGTGAAACCAGAGCTTGAATACTGTGTGCAGTTTTTGTCTCTTCATTTAAGGAAAGGTGTAAATATATTGGAAGTGGTTCAGAGGAGGGTTATTCGATTGATAACTGGAATGAATGGGTTTTCTTGTGAGGAAAGATAGGACAGACTGAGTTTGTTTATCGTGGAGTTTAGAAAAATGAGGAGCGATGAGGTTGAAGTGTATCAAATCCTGGATGGCTTTGACAAGGTGGATATGGAAAGGATGTTTCCTCCCGTGGGTAAGTCCAGAACTAGGGAGTTCTGTTTTAAAATTAGAGGTGGCCTTTTAGGACTGAGATGAGGGGAATTTATTTTATGTATGACTTTGGAGCTCTCTGCCTCAGGAGACAGTGGAGTTCAGGGTTATTAAATGTTCTCTAGATGGAGCTGGATAGATGCTTGTTTAGGTAGGGGAATCGAGGGCCTTTGGGGGGAGGTGGGAATGTGAAAATGGGTCAGCCGTGAATGACAGATCAGCCTGGAGGGGCTGAATGGTCTACTCCATCTCCTATTTTGTATGTTCATATGGTCTCTGATCCTCCATCGAAAGAATAGGGTAAAGGGGGAAATGGTATATGGCATACGCCATTGCTGATGATGCTGGTCTCTGATTGGCTGACAGCTCCAAACGGATGGACTTCCTGCTGCCTGATTGGTGCTAAGTCCAGCAAGCCTTTCCTAACCAAAGTAGGCATCAGGCTTCTCTCTGGGAAAGTCTTCAGTTTTCAGACTCAGTTTGAAACAGGAAACTTCCACCCTCAGTATTTCATATTCAGGGCTGTAACACTTTGTCGGATAAGGCAGCCTTGAAACACCTTTGGGTGTTTTACTATTTTAAAGGTGTCTTGCAAATGCACACTGTAGCTGTTGTTGTAATAAGAGAGAAAGGAATTCTAAACAAAAACAGTCACACTTGGAAATGAACATGCTGATCGTACGGGAGCTCCATTTTGAAAGATACAAGATAGGTCAGTTCAGGGTGTGTCATTCGCTGGTTTTACTGGATGTCATTAATTATTGATGTAAATTGTCACTATTTTTCTTCAGGGAAGGCGGCCGGTGACATATTTGGTGATAACACAATCCTGGCCAACCCCATCGCTGGCCTTATGCTGGGGGTGCTGGTGACCATCCTGGTACAGAGTTCTAGCACATCCTCTTCCATTGTGGTTAGCATGGTCTCTTCGGGCTGTAAGTACGGCTGTCTGTTGGCTTTGTACCTTTTCTAGACAAACATGTGACAGAACCAAACTTGTGGATTTGGAATAAACTCCATATTGCTCTCACTGGTTTGAATGTAACAACTTTAATCTCCTCCCACAGCTTTAGGGGATACTGTCACCCACCATGCACACCCCCCCCGCAAGATAACATGCTGAGGACTAACTCAGTCTCTGTCCTCCCCAGTGTTTGTGGCTGCTTGCTGGGTTGGTTTTGGTTGGGGGTGTGAATGGAAGTCACTGTGTGGATGCTGGTTTCAGTGACAATGAGTCCTGTCAATGCTATGTGGACAACATGGGCCTCAAATGGCTGCTGTTGTTTCTCTGCCACCCCTCACCCCCAGGGGGCAGTGTATACTGCACTGCCCCAAGTTGAGAGATGGAGAAAGAGGGTGTGACCACAGTGCGTTCTAAACAATGCCTTTCTTCCACAGTGCTCAGTGTTGAGGCTTCAATTCCCATTATCATGGGGGTCAACGTAGGAACATCAGTGACCAGCACCTTGGTATCCTTAGCTCAGTCTGGAGAACGTAATGAGTTCAGGAGGTAGGTCATACAGATTGTTTTCTAACTCTTGGCCTCTGAGTGTTGGATCCCTCTATATTCATTGATGTGTCTGGCTTGGGGTTTAATTAATTCCTCTCACGTGCTCTTCTTCGTTGAAAGCACTGGTTCTAATCGAGTGCGGGAACATTTCATTAGTCTGTCCCTGCTCTGGGCATCTAGCCATTGCCTTGTATCCAAATTAGTCCCCTCTGTATTCAACTGGTTGTTCAGTCTGTGTAGGGGTGGTGTTCTGTAATACACTCCTGATTGGCTATACTGCCATAGGGCAGAGGGATCTGTGGGTCAGGGCCCGAACCAGTCATTATCCAACAGAAATCAGGTGCCTGCACCTGACCTGCAGATGGTGTGCTCCACTTTCCTCAGTATTCCTGCTCTGAGCTCCCCCACACATGGAGAGTGGTACCTGCGGGGAAGGTGATTGGGAACACCGGAAGATCATGTCATGAGGAGGCCTTATTGAATATCTCAAGAACAGATATTCAGTTTCCCAGACAGAAGGTGGTCAGATTGAGAGTCATCTGTAAATGTGTGTCAGACTGTGACCCTGAACTGGAGAGAATGGAGATTGTAGGTTGTATCCTAGCTTCTGGAAGGATGATGAGGGAGAATGGGAGGGCAGATTAGTGGACTCCTCATGGTGTTAACACATTCATCTGCACCTGTGGGTCCCCATGCAGCCTCCATGAATGTATCTAAATGATAGTCTTGTCTCTCAAGAACAGGTTTGTTACCTGTTCCTCAATGTGGCTCTGGGTAAAGATGGCTGCAATAGGTCTCCAAAGTTTGACATTTTAAAGCCATTCCCTCAGCTTCCTATCCTCTCTACTCTTCGCCTCCCCCATTCCTCTCTCTCTTTCCTTGTTCTGTTCTTTGACATCACCAACACACCTTGTAGAACCTGCCCAAGCTTCAGGTCCATCCAGTTTATAATCCCATCAGTTTAGGAGAGAATCGACAGAGAGGGAATTGGGGAGAATATTTTCTGGGGATACAGATTCACATAACCACAGGTGTCAGGAGACTGCTGAATCAGATAATGTCCTATTTGACTCTGGGACCCACACTGAGGTGGAGTGTAACTTGATTCTAGATGATTCTTCACTCTGTGACCAAGTGATGACGATGGTTGTCCTGAGGTATCTTGGGATGCTTGACCACAGATCCCTGAATGTGTCTGTACAAGTCATTTTCTTTGGAGCAGAGAAGGTTTGTGGGGGGGGGGGCGTGGAAACCTGATAGAGGTCAAAAGATTATGAGGGGCATGGACAGGGGTGAATAGGAAGCAGCGGTTTCCTTTAGTCAAAGGGTCAAAAACAAGGGGGCATCATTTTAAGGTGAAAGGTAGAAGGGTTAGATAGGAGGTAATGGAAAATATTTTCCTCCAGAGGGTGGAGGGTGTCCAGAATATATTGAACAGGAGAGTAGTTGAGGTGAGAAAACTCACAATCTTTAAAAAAACACTTGGATGACAATGTCAAGGCTATGGACCAAGCGCTGGGAAGTGGGACTGGTGTAGATTTAGAGTAGCTTTGTTGGTTCAGAGTCGATTGGGCCTCAGCTTGGGCTCCCTGCACCCAGCACAAGTCAGGAATGGATCTCAGTGAGTTGAGGCAGAATGGTAATGTTTTCACTTGTTTCATATCAGTACGGTGAAGGGATCTTGTTTCTCTTCAGATGAGGAACACTTAAACATAACCTTCACAAAGTGTCACATCAAAGGTGATTGTGCAAACTGAGAGCTCCTGGTGTCGGGGATAATAAACCACTGTAGAGAGAGGACTGGCTGGCAGAAAACAGAGGATATGCCGAGATAATTTCCCTTTCTGATTGGCAGGATGTGACAGGATATGCAGAATGTGGTGGCCAAGTGGAACTTGTTGGCCTTGTAAACTGAAGATCGTGGGTTTGATCCCCACCCGTGCCTAAGAGCACAATGTTTGTTAATTTTGGAGCCAGCATGAGCATCATGGTGGCTCAGTGGTTAGCACTGCTACCTCACAGCACCAGGGACCTGGGTTCAATCCCACCCTCAGGTGACTGTCTGTGTGGCATTTGCATATTCTCTCCGTGTCAGCGTGGGTTTCCTCCCATAGTCCAGAGATGTGCAGGTTAGGTGGATTGGCCATGCTAAATTGTCTATAGTGTCCAGAGATGCATAGATTAGGTGGGTTATAGGGGAATGGGTCCGAGTGGGATGCTCTGAGGGTTGTTGTGGACTTGTTGGGCTGAATGGCCTGTTTCCACACTGTAGGGATTCTATGACTCTGTACTGGGACCTCACCTTTTACAACTTATATCAATGACTTTGATGAGAAATGTGAAGGCATGGTAATTAAATTTGATAGGTGGGAAGGAATGTTATGAAGAAAATGTAAGCAAGTTGCAAGTGGATATAGAGATAGTAGAAACTGCAGATGCTGGAGAATCTGAGATAACAAAGTGTAGAGGTCTAGGGTCTAGGCCTGAAACGTCAGCTTTCCTGCTCCTCTGATGCTGCTTGGCTTGCTGTGTTCATCCAGCTCTACACCTTGTTATCTGCAAGTGGATATAAACAGGTTAAATGGCAAATCTCTAGTAGATGGAGGATAACAGGGGGAAATGTGAAATTATTCACTCTGAAAAGAAGAATAAAAATATTACTTAAATGAAAAATAACTTCAGGATTCTAAGATGCAGAGGGATCTAGATAATCCAGTGCATGTGTCACAAAAGGTTTCTATGCAACTACAGAAATTAATTCAATAAGCTAATGGTAGGCTGCTCCTTACCACAAGAGGAATTTTACACAAAACTAAGGATCCTATGTTTCAGTGACACAGGGCACTGGGGAGACCTCAATGTGTACAGAATAATGTGCGTAGTTTGGGTCTCAATTTAAGGAAGGAGCTGGCTCAAAGGATGTTCACTAGATTGGTTCCTGGAATGAGTGAGTTATCTAATGAGAATAGGTTAGACAGACTGGGCTTGTTTTCACTGGAGTTTAGAAGAGTGAGGGGGGAACCTTATTGAAGTGTATCAGATCCTGATGGACTTGACAAGGTGGATGTGGAAAGGATGTTTCCTCTTGTGCGTCAGTCCAAAAGTAGGGGGCACTTGTAAAATTAGGGGTCACCCTTTTTGAGACAATTTTCTGAAGAAGGGTCCAGACCTGAAACGTCAGCTTTCCTGCTCCTCTGATGCTGCTTGGCCTACTGTTTTCATCCAGCTCTACACCTTGTTATCTCTATTTCTCAGAGAGTTGTGTGGCTTTGGAACTCTCTGCCTCACATGGGAGTAGAGGTGGGGCCATTGAATATTTTTAAGAGAGAAGTGAATGGATTCTTTGTTGACAAGTGGGTTATGGGGGTAGGTGGGATTGAAGAATTTGAACCAAACAGATTGGCCATGCTCTTAGTGAATGGTAGAGATGCCACAGGGTGCCAAATGGCCGACTCCTGTTCCAATTTGTATATTGAGATGTTTGTATGTGAGCTTTATTTAGCAACCAACACTACATCTGACAGTGAATGAAGGAGCCCCAAGTGCCTGTGTAAAATCCCTGTCCAGCTCCCTCTCTTCATCACATAATCTTCCACAGGCACATTACCCCCACCTCATTAACAGACCATCCTCGGGGTGAGTCACTATGCACTTCCTGATATTGGCACCCAATTCAAGAAAATATCCGCCAGGCCAGTATTTATTATATACCCTGAGTAACTAAGACAACATCAGAGACAGTCAAGAGTCAAGCACATGGGTGCAGACAGGAGTCACTTATTGGCTGGGTAAGGGTGGCAGGTTTCCTACCCAAAAAGGCCTGAGTGAGTCAGTTGGATTTTTACAATAACCCAACATCTTCACAGTCACTTCCACTGATATCATCTTCAACTGTCTTTCTAATTCAGAAAATTGGATAACCAACTGGTAAATTTGCAGTAACAAAATTCTCTGGTTTCTGAAAATAGATGCTAGAAATTCCTGCAGGCGGCTGTTCAGCCCATTCTGTTTGTTCTGATGCTAGCCCTTTGGCCATTATTGTCACGTTGAATCTTATTTCACTTCTCTTTCTTCAAGTAACAGAGAGTCATAGAGCTATAGATCCAGAAACAAAACCCAGGAGATTAAAATTCCTGTTATAACACGCTCCTGTTCTGTCACCAGGGCCTTTGCAGGTTCAGCAGTACATGGCATATTTAACTGGATGACAGTTGTCGTTCTCCTTCCCATTGAGATTGGCACTGGCTTTCTGTACCATGTCAGCAAGGCCTGCATCGAAAGCTTCAACATTCAGTCAGGAGAGACCACACCAGACATCCTGAAAGTCATCACAGAGCCCTTCACCCACCTAATCATTAAGGTACGTGTGCTGTCTCCCCACACACTCAGAAATTGAGGGACCCACACTCACCTAGTGGCCTGGGTTCAAGTCCTACCTGTTCCAGAGGTGAGTAATAACATCCCTGAACAGGTTGATTAGAAAAATAGAATAAATAAAAGATTTTAAAGAAACTGCTTCTCCTTCTGCCCTCTGCCACAAATTCCCACTAGCACCAAATTCCCAAATCAGCACTTGTTCCTTGTCACACACAGTCCTTGTCAGTTCCACTGTGGCCATAAACTCTGTCTGATTTTATAGAGAGCTAATGATTCACACCCAAGTTGCAACTCCTAATTCAGCTTCTGATTACACTATTATCCAAACATTTCTAATGGATTGACAGAAAACTGCCAATGCTAAGCAGTTTCTGCTAAACTGCTTAGGTTTTTAACCAACTTGTGAAGGAAAAAACATACTTAGCGTTTCAGGTCTGGTGATCCTTCCTCAGAACCAGTTCTGAGGAAGGGTCACCAGACCCAAAATGTTAACTCTGTTTTTTCCTTCACAGATGCTGCCAGACCTGCTGAGCTTCTCCAGCAACTTTGTTTTTGTTCCTGATTTACAGCATCCGCAGTTCTTTCATTTTTTTTAACCAACTTGCTGCTTTAAAATTCTGAGTCAAAGTCTAACTGCTAATCTAAGTTATAGCTTGAGAAGAAAAAAAATTACCAAAATTTACCGCTTACACCATATTCCCAAATGAGCATTCATTCCTCATTACTCTCAGTCCTTGTTGTCTGTGCCTTGTGCTCCCACTCATTACTGTTCTTTCACTGATGTTAATTATTGCTGTGTCAATGTCTCTGATTCAATACTAATTTCCTTGGGATCTCTGGCATGTTATTCCTCTGCAGTAAATACCTTTTCAAACTCATTATTCTACATTTCAACCACGAAATGCATCATAGTAGCCCCTCGTCAATTATCAAGGGACCCACTTTTCCCCTCGCTATCCTCTTCTTTCCAGTTGTAGTTGAATAAATTTATAGCAATGATTCTAATATTCCTCACAAGTTTCTTTTCATACTCCATTCTTGTTGCTTTGACTGCCTTGTTTTGTCAGCATTTTTATCATCCTTTTTCTCCCAAGGATCTGCATTGTTTTTAGCATTTTTAAAAATCATTTTCTGCTTTTATGCTGTTGTCTTGTGTGTATTTCTTCACCCACAGCTGGTTGTTTTGGCAATGGAGTTTGAAGTGGCTGTACCGTACTACATTATTTTGAATAACTCCAACAGATTTTCTTTAATTTTACTGAAGTCTAAAACCTTGGTAACTATTTAGCCCTTCTCACTTTTGAACCCATCCTCAACATTCCACATAAGGAGCACTGCTCCCAACAGCCTGTTGGCAAATGTCAATCTGTTTCTCCTATTCATGTCACATCAGGATGAGATGCCCACGAACATACTTTGGGGTACATAGAAGTGGTTTGACGAAGATGTTATGAAATGCGTTGGAGTCAGACTCCCCTGTCACATTGTCTCTCCTGAACAAACACTGATTAGAATGTCCAGAAGCAACGACAGTAGCTGGGCACTCTTTCTCGAGATATCATTCAGCTTGTGTTATCACTCTGGATGAAAGCACAACTGCTTGTCCTTGCAGTATAACGGTTGCTGGAAGCCTCGCTGGTATCACACTGCTTGGCGATTTTACCATTGCAATTGGACTAATTCAGTGTTAGCATTGTCATCACTAATTGCTTGATCCAAGGTAAAGCTGCTTCTTGCTCTGTGCCCCAATGTCACTGCACTTCCTGAGCAGTGAGTAAGTTTCCAAAACTGAACCAGTGCCATTTGCCTGTGTTTGGCCCATATCCCTCTAAACCTTTCCTGTCCATGTGCCTGTCTAAATGTCTTTTAAATGTTGTAATTGTACCAGCCTCCACCACTTCCTCTGGCAGCTCGTTCCATATACACAACACCCTCAGTGTGAAAAGGTTGCCCCTCAGGTCCCTTTTAAATTATCCTCCCTCACCTTAAACCTATGGCCTCCGGTTTTGGACTCCCCTACCCTGGGGAAAAGACCTTGACTATTAACCCTTTCCATTAACCCCTCACGATTTTATAAACCTCTATAAGGTCACCCCTCAGCCTCTGACACTCCAGGGAAAGAAGTCCCAGCCTATGCAACCTCTCCTTATAACTCAAACCCTCCAAACTCAGAAACATCCTTGTAAATCTTTTTTGCATCGTTTTGAGTTAACAGGGCGACCAGAATTGTATGCAGTTCTGTAAATGTGACTTCACCAATGTCTTGTATAGCTGCAACATGACATCCCAACTCCTGTACTCAATGCTCTGAGTGAAAAAGGCAAGTGTGCCAAATGCCTTCTTCACCACCGTCTCTACCTGTGATGCCACTTTCAAGGAACCATGTCTCTCTGTTCGACATCACTCCCCAGGGCCCTACCATTAGCTGTGTAAGTCCTGCCCTAGTTTGTTTTACCAAAATGCAACACTTATATTTATCTGAGTTAAACTCCAAGTGCCATTCCCCAGCCCACTGGCCCAGTTGATCAAGATCCCATTGTAATTTTAGATAACCTTCTTCACTGTCCACTACACCTCCAATTTTGGTGTCATTTGCAAACTTACTAACTATGCCTCCTGTATTCTCATCCAAATCATTGATATAAATAACAAACAACAGTGGACCCAGCTCTGAGCCTTTTGGCACAATGCTGGTCACAGGCCTCCAACCTGACCAACAACTCTCTACCACCTTTCTCTCTCATACCATCAAGCCAATTTTATCTCCAACTGTCAAGGTCTCCCTGGATCCCAAGTGATCTAACCTTCCTAATCAGTCTACTAGTTCCATCATGGCTCAGGGTTCACTTGGCCAACTGTTACGATTTCTCTTTTTCTGATCTGTCAACTGCGCATTTGGATAAAGGATGAGAAGTCAGTGCTAATACAGCAATTCTCACTCTGCAGTTGGATAAGTCAGTGATTTCAGCCATTGCCACTGGAGAAACAGGGGCCAGGAATAGGAGTCTCATCCAGAAGTGGTGCAAATTTAACGAACTAACGGTGAGTCAGAACTGTCTGCAATCCTATGTTTGTTTATATATCAGTATTCATTTGAATACCAGCATTTAACTCTGCACATTCAACAATACTGCAGTCTCACTACTGCTGCTCCAACAATGCAGTCCCAACAGTATTGCTGCTGCAACAATGCAACACTTGCAGCACTGCAGCACTCCCTCAGCACTGACCCTCTGACATTGTGGCACTCCCTCAGCACTGACCCTCCGACAGTGCAGCACTCCCTCAGCACTGACCCTCCGACAGTGCAGCACTTCCTCAGTACTGACCCTACGACAGTGCAGTGCTCCCTCAGCACTGACCCTCTGACAGTGCAGTGCTCCTTCAGCACTGACCCTCTGACATTGCGGTGCTCCCTCAGCACTGACCCTACGACAGTGCAGTGCTCCCTCAGCACTGACCCTCTGACAGTGCAGTGCTCCCTCAGCACTGACCCTCTGACATTGCGGCACTCCCTCAGCACTGACCCTCCGACAGTGCGGCACTTCCTCAGTACTGACCGTCCGACAGTGCGGCGCTCCCTCAGCACTGACCATCCGACAGTGCGGCGCTCCCTCAGCACTGACCGTCCGACAGTGCGGCGCTCCCTCAGCACTGACCCTCCGACAGTGCGGC